TGCTGAACTGCAGAGGAGCCCTGGAGGTACTTGTAAGACAAGGGCTGACATGCTTGATGGGACTTCTTAATTAGATCTCACTAAACCAAAATGTACCGGGGCTCCCCTGGCAGAACAGCAGCAGACAAAACATTAATCACACTCCAAATAAATAATTAAAACATTGGGGCTCTTAGAAGGGGGAAAAAAAATCTGGGAAAAAAATATCAAAGGCATCAGCACCAGCCCATAGCAAGGAACAGAGCTGCTGTGTCCAGCAGTGCCCTGGCCTTGGAAGGGAGTAGAGCTGTGTCCCCAAAGTCCCAGGAGATGTCAGGATGAGGTTTAGGACCTCATACCTGGAGCTGTGGGATCACATCATCATCTCAGCTTTATATTCAAATGGATCTTTCCACAACCAGCATCTATAGATTCAAATCATTGAATGAAAAGTTATCTCACCACTGTTTGTCTCCCACAGTGCCCTGGGATGTGGGTCACCTCTGGGACATCAACCAATATCCATATTCACCTCTGGGACAGTGGATAATGCTCAGATCTTGGGCACCAGCAGATGGCTTGATACAGCATGGGAAAATATGTTTACCCAGCACTTAGAAACACTTTGGGGAAAAAACAACAACAATAAACACTTGAAAAAAGAAACCTCTCCCCCCCATCCCTCTTAGGCTGAGCAGAGATGATTACTCAGAGTAAGCAACTCAGAGCTTGAATTATGCATGGAACCATTTGCATTCAAGCCCAAGAGTGAGGCAGAACCAGTCCTGTCCCTCCCGGGCACCAGTCCTCAAACTCATGGCACCTGTACTCTGCTTTCTTCTTCTGTACCTTTCCTACAAGGTATGTATGAAAGAGCCAAGCCAGAGCTGTGGTGGGAGGGAGCTGCTCCCCCCCCTTCACCAATGAGGCAACAGTGGATGATGGATTTAATCCATCCTCCCTCTGAGGCTGTGATGCTGCAGGAAAATGGTTTTTATTCTGCTAAGGATTGGACAACCCTATGGCTTTTGGATATGACCACCAGGACTTGAAGCTATGCACTTATTAAGCAGCATCCCTGACCTTCTTCCTTCTCCCAGCCCTTCTCCAGCACATCACCTGCATCCACAGCTCACTGGGAATGATGGACTCCACCAAAACCTGCTTTATTACATTAATATTTGTTGGTAATGAAGCTAGCACTTAGAGCTCCAATTAAATTAGGAAAGCTATAATGAACAAGAAGTGGTGCATTAATTCGTTAGTGGGGAATTACTCTAAATTATCTCAGCAAATACAGCAAAACTCCAATTCTCCAGCACTGCTTGCAAATGCATTTTGTTCCTTCAGCTCCATTTACACCACAGCACATTTCTCTCTAGCAGCAAAAACAGAAGTGAATTAACTTCAGGTCCTTAGGGAAGTGTTTGTGTCTCAGATGGGAATAAATACCTGAGACATACCAGAAAACTTCCTTTTTGGCTTCTTCTCCAGGTCTACGCAGGGAAAATGGATATTGTTTACCATAAACCACTTAAGTGCTACAGGAAACAGCACTGCAAAGGTTACTGCCTGTAAAAGCTCCATTAGCAGCATCACAAGGCTGAGAACAGATACAACTCATGTCACATCAGCCTGACACAGCTCTGGAAACAAGGCCCTGGACCCTTCACATCCAAACACATCACATCTGGGCTGGTACAAGGGAACGGCAGCAATGGAAAAAGCCCCTCACACAGATCCCCTCTCCCCACTCCTCTGAACTAAAGAGAAAACACAAGGTAAGTGATAAAAACTCCAGAAGGTATTTCTTTTTCCAGTACAGGTAACATTTGTTTTAATGAGCTTCCAAGGTGTTCACAGGACTCCAGGAGCTGAATAAATGCTCAATCATCCTGCACAAGACAACTTTGCCCCTCCTGATCCTTGATCCACCTACAGCAATCCCAGCTTTGGGAGCCTTTCCTCAGGGCTGGATTTCTGGGAGATGCTTCTCCAGTGGGTCCTTCTCCTCCTCAGCCCTCCTATCAAGATTTTTTCTGGTGAGTGGTGGGAAGAAGATTAGCTTGAGATTAATAACTTAAAGAATTTATAGCTGTAAAAAAATCTACTAAAATCCACCCTGTGATAGATACCAGAAGGGAAGGCAACAGTGCCAGAAGCAACAGTAGCTGATATGTGGCCCTTCCTGTGCTGGGAATGGGGTTGGCAGGAGTCAGCCCTCCTATCAAGATTTTTTCTGGTGAGTGGTGGGAAGAAGATTAGCTTGAGATTAATAACTTAAAGAATTTATAGCTGTAAAAAAATCTACTAAAATCCACCCTGTGATAGATACCAGAAGGGAAGGCAACAGTGCCAGAAGCAACAGTAGCTGATATGTGGCCCTTCCTGTGCTGGGAATGGGGTTGGCAGGAGGACAGCCAAGC